AGGCAGTGGCTCAGGGAGGGACAGTGAGGATGGTAGGAATTACCTGAGTCTGTGAGCTAGGCTTAGCTAGGAGGCCAGAAAGCATTCTGCAATATGCAGAGAGAACAGCATACAGAAAGACCAATTGCATAACACAACTGGGAAAGCGGTTAAATAGTTAGAAGAACGTTGCTTCAGTGTATGATATGTACCTGTGTGCTCTGGGAAGTCATAGACCCTCATCTTGAGGTCTGAACCTGTCGATGTCGCTCCCGGCCGGCAGGAAAGACACACGACAAGGTCTGGCGGTGGTCAGGCTTTTCTTTATTCTCTCCTTATACAGTCTGCCCCGAAGCCTCTACCGTCCGCTCTCCGCGGCTCCTTCCGTGCTTCAGTCTGCCCCGAAGCCTCTACCGGTCCGCTCCCCGCGGCTCCCTCCGTGCTTCAGTCTCTCTCTCGGGGGTGGAGGCACTGGCTATATATAGGATTAATAGCTAGGCAGACTACCCTGTGAGGCGGGAACTTAGTGGGGTGATAAGAAACAGGTGCCACACAGGCGGGCTCGATGAGAGGGGTAATCTAGCTCAGGCTTTTGTACTTTCCCACAGGCCTCGCAATCACCGCGTCTGATGACTTGACAGTGCCACGGCTCCCAACATGAACCCAGTAGACATTCCTGGAGCCAAGTGGTTCTGCCATCCCACTGTGCTCAAATGTTTATAGAGAGACAGGATGCAAGGAAACAGGAAACTGTCGCTGGCTCTAAAGACTATGCATCAATACTTCAGCTAGCCCTATTTACATTACTTAAAGTCACTTGAAGGGAAAAGGAGATAGCTAAGGCCCAGTTTAACTAATGCAGAGGTAATTGTCCTGCATTCAAGGAAAGCTGTCCGAATGGTCTTCTACACTGCTCCCTTTGTATTCTCTGCTTTTTAAAATGCATGAGCTTAGAAGAAATATGTATCATCCCACAGACATGCCAGTATGGCTAAAAAACTCTAATTAAGTACTGTAAACACATAAAGTGCTTCACAGTACCCAGGACACACAACATACCAAGGAAGTACCAGCTGAGCCGATACTACCACTGCTACTGGAAATTGTCTCTTGCTCCATTACCCACCATGCAACTTGTGCAAGCTCTTGGGCTTTGCCTTTAGGCTTTTTGTACTCAGTGGAATACAACTTCACAATTAATTTTTCAGCATAACCCAAGTAGTAAATATAGGCAACAAGATGTCACATGTAAGAGTACATGAAAACCATGAAGTAACATTCCGATGTACAGCTCTACACTAGTTTACACCACACTAGTTCCATACCAGTGACTTCGGTGTTCAGAGCTGATATCTCCACTGAGCTTCAGTCTACCTCACGCTCCTACTGAATGGGAAGAACTCACCGACTGGAGACTATTATACAGCAAAAAGGCGAGTGGACATGTCAGTAATTAAGTAGCCAAGAAGGAACTGTGTGAAACTAGTCACTGAGGCAAGGGACTAAGACTTGAACAAAACTACCAGAACAATGAGAGAGATTCCAGATCAGTTACACTATTTTAACTACAAGCATAAAGAGAACAAAATACAAAAGAAATCATGTCAAGTGGAACCAAAGTTCTCAGAGTTGCATTCGCGTCTGTCTTGACAATGCAACACACACACACAAGCCATGAAGTAAACCACGGCTATCAGTGGCTCACACATAGCTCTCTTTGCAGAGAAGAGCCGCCCAGAAGGCACAAGTGTTTCATGTGATGAACAGAAGGGAGGAATCTGTGTTTTGCAGGCAAGCTTAGCCTGTGCCCATATGTGCAAGAGAGCTTTGGGTCTGCTGCCCTGTGCTGCTCACGCAAGCACTGGACAGGTCATCGCCAGTAAAAATCATGTAGTTACATAGCCCAGGGACTCACTAGGCCAGCCCACTAGATCGCTCATTAAAGGTACCCCCCCAAAGATGGAAATCTGGATGGAGATAAGATACTCTCATTTCCTGGAGTCCTATGAGGCATGAGAGCAAACAGGCTCTGACCTATGTCCCTATGTGTTTCCAGAGGTAGAGGAGTCAACAATTCTTTAGTGCAGATGTTTCTTCCAGGTCACACACTCAAGGGGTCAAATCCATAACGACTCTGTGCCTGAAAATCTAGCTGCTGGTAAAGAATTCCTTTCTGAGGTGCATCATTAACATCTCCTGTCTTTTTACTGTCACACTTCAGAGCTGTCACATCTCCCTGCGCCTACAGTCACCAAGACTATCGTTGTATTTTTTTGGTCTCAGGCACTGACATGCCTATCACCATCTCTAGAGGACGAAGGAAGAGTGGCTTTAGAAATGGTCAGCTACAGCTAGCCTCAACTAGGCTTCCTCCTGCACCACCAATATACAACCTCCAATCCACTCAAAGCAATTTTGCTAGATTAATATTTCTAAAACAACGCTTCCCATGGGTTTTTTTGGTTGTTTGTCTATTTGTTTGAGTTATTTTGTTTTGTTTTGTTTTGTTTTGTTTTGTTTTGTTTTGTTTTGGAAGGAAGTGATGTTTGGTTTTTGTAGTTTGTTTTTAATGGGGGAATACTAAATCCAGGGCCATGTGCATTCTAATCAACCACTACCTTTGAGCTCCACTCCCTGACCTAAAACACTCTCTCATGGCATTGTTGTTACCAGCATCCAACTGTCTGTCTCCATTCCCCCAAAATAAAACGAATCAGAAATTTTAAATTGACCCCCAAAGTAATTATAGTAAAGTTGTAATTCTCTAAGTCAGGGGCCAGCAAACTTTTTCTATAAAGGCCAAATAATAGTTTGTGGGTCTCAAAGTCTATACACAACTCTGCCTTTGTAGCAATATCAGCCAAGAAGCACAGTAAACTAACACCAGCTGTACTCCAATAAAATAAAACTCCATCCACAAAGAAGATAGGACTGGGATTTAGCACAAATGATGTAGTTTTCCAATTCCTACTTTATCTTAGCACTGGAAACTTTCAGTAATCTGCCCATCAACTTACAAACTTACTTCCATTCTTCTGTCTTGGCAGTACTGTATATTATACTTTTCTTTTTAAATGTAACATACACCACATAAAAGTAAGGGCATGCTGGGATACTCGTTTTATCAGAGAGAGGGAATAAAAAAGGCGGAAAGAAAAAGATAGAGAAGCTAAGTAGCTTATAGTCAGGACTACAAGTTAAACTGAAGAACTCATCCTGTTAAAGGCTACTCAATGCTGCCTCTCCACTGGTTAACACAGGGTCCCCACAAATTACATGATCACCCCCGAACTTTAGCTCATAAAGTTACTCCCCCCCTCTAGCTATGTCCTTCTAGTCTCCCATGTCCCAGATCAAGGTTCAGCCCTCACTAAACCCCCAGCTCACCCTACTCACAGTGATCTCTCCCTTTCTTTTAATTCTAACACATACATTGTACTTTTCTTTGGGCTCTTTTATTTTTATGATTATCTTTCCTACTTAATTTTTATCTAATTTTCTATGCTCTAGGCAACTGCCACAGTATGTTCTGAAGCTAAAAGATATTCATTTATCAGAATGATGATTTTAACATACCTGATAATCCACAGATATATGGACATAAAATAACCATTTTTCATAAATAAACTACAACAAGTCATTTGTGTAAAACAAATATACCATTTTTTCAAAATGAAAAAAAAAAGAAACTAAAACTATCTATCAATCCCTTTGGTCTTTGCAATATGAGCTATAGTTCCAAAATGAATAAAGATTGAATACATTTAGTAATTGAACTGTTTCGAAGACTTTTATGGTAAATATTTTTGTTGAACTATGAAAACATCTTTAAGCAGATCTTTCTGTCACTCAGGTTTCTGAGAAGTGGTTCTCTGAGAAACACCTTTTGAAAAAGCATTGGTGCCTTTCCTGATTACAAATATAGATAGACAGATACATAGATACATAAAGTGTGTATTGCATAAAATTTCTGTGGATTCATGTAAGATAAAAAATCTGGCTCAGATAGTCACAGATTAGCTACTCAGAGCTCTCGATCACCTAATACATTTTCATCTTGATTCCAAGCATTCAGAGAAATTTCAAGGCATTAAAAGAATGTGGCAGCATTTTTAAATATTTCATAATTACTTTATTGTGTTTTTATTAACATGAATTAATTATACATATTAATGGGGTTCGGTGGGATATTTCCGCACATGCACACAGTGTGAACTCATCAAAATGAACCTTCCTTTGCCCACCTCCCCTGCTTTATTTTTCATACAACTATTATACTCAAATTGGAAGGCATCAAAGATCATGAACAAAGGACAAAGTGCAAAGTTATAGTTACAAGCAAGAAGAAGCATGGAGAGAGGAGAAGTCCACCAGACCCTCTCGATTTGCTGTTAGTCCTTGCTGTGGCAGCTCTGATGGCCCAGAGAACACCAGCAGGTGTGTGAGCAGCACAGGCCCAGGCTGTCTCTGGACAGTAAGTCCCCACCTCAGAGCTGGGGTATCACAGCTTACAACAACAACCCAAGCTAAGGAAAATCAGCATGAGCAGCTGGTGGCAAAACCCATGTAAAATAAAATTCAGAGATACTAACAAATAATGACTTCCTAAAATAAACGCCAACAGAATAACATACCCTAGGCAGACAATAACAGCCAAATAATAAAACAAAAAGCTAAATTTAAGAATTCAACATGAAATGGTTAAACTCAAACCATCTGTAGAAAATAATAAACTGATGAATATGGATGAATACAGAGTTAATAACAGGTAACACAAATACAGAATGTCAAAAGCAGCCAACTACCAATCAGGAGGATAGATAAACAGAAATGTTAGTCTCAGTGAGTGAAAGAAAAACATAAATAAATTAGTGCTTTCAAAATGACTGATTTATACCAGAGACAGAGATGGAAGTAAAGCTTCTCAAAATGCATGCTTTGAATTGCCACCTGCTAGTCTGGAAAATTAAAGCACAGTGTATTTAATATTTGATTCTGTTTTTGCTTTTGTTTTTTGCCAGGGATGGAAGCCAAGGCTTCACACCTGCTGAGCCCCCAGCCTGCCACGGTCAAGTGCTAACCCACTTCTCCAGCAGGGTCAGTATTCTGCCGTCCTCTCTAACATTTTAAACCCACTTTCACCTACTTCTAGAACAGCACATTCTCTCTATTCTTTTCATCCATTTTAAAATGAATTTCTAGCCTTATATGCAAAGCACCAATGACCAGCCCTCACAGGAGCCTCTGATTATGCACCTTCCTCCGCCCTCCTCGTCTGCTCTCTCTGTTCTATACATTAACTTCAGATACCCACAGTTTCTGAAAGCCCCGAGTTTGCTGCTGATCCTGATCTCAGTCTGTCTCCTTATAAAAGCACATGTCTGTCTCTGCAGGATATTAGCAAGGAATTAGTCATCTGTTCATGAGATCTGTGCCCATCACTTGGCACTCAATTACATATTATCTTCTATTTAATGGTTCCTAGAATGAACACTGTCTTCCTTATAAATTCATTAGCTCCTTATAAGAAAGGATTACCAGTACTGAATACATAGCAAATGTTTAGTACACATTTGTAGAAATTGAGTGTGTTAAATAAAGGAAATAATTATTTCTTACCCTACCCTTTAAAAAATACTGTTTAGCCGGGGATGTAGCTCAGTAGCATAAGCACCTGCCTGGTAAGCAGGTGGTCGTGAGTTCAATGCCCGGTAACAAACTGCAAAGTAAAAGAATAAAAAATACTATCTAAATATGGAAATCAAACTACACAAATATCAACTACCAAGAAGTTCTGGGAAATCTGCCACCAGAAAAAAGTCTATAGTCATTTTTCATTTGAGTACAAATTTAAAACAAGGTCTGTATCTTCTTTAGCTCTGTTCTTTAAACCAAGAGTGCCTCAAAGTTCACCAGGACAGTAGTTCTAAAGATAAGGAAGAGGCCCATATTTCGAAACTTAACACTCCAGCATCAGAAGAGCAAATACACTCAACTAATTTTTCCCACATCAGTTGGGTTTTACCTTGAGTCATCCCAATTTATTTGCTGGGACTCTTTGACTCATCAAAAATGTTTCAGCATTCAAATGCTACCAATGGAAAGGAATTTGTACCAAATCATCCAGTGCCTTAAGCCACATATTCTTTCTATTCCAAAGGAAAAATCGAAGAAGCTACTTGTTGGGGCAATATCCACACTGCATCAACCAACTAGATAGGACCAAGCAAATCTGAATCAAAAGTTAAATTGTTTTTGAGCAGAAAAAAGTGTGCTGTGCCTTCAAATGGTAGAAGGCCAATAGAAATACAGAGAAAAGGAGGTTTTAGTGAGAACAGACTCATACCAACAACCACGTCCTCATTTCCCAACCCTCAGGGAACACAAAGACTTCGGTTTAAAGATTTTTTTAAAAAAAGATAAAAATAAAAAGTGGAGCACACCTGTAATCCCAACATTTGAAAGGATAAGGCGACAGTTCAAAGTCAGTCTGCACTACACAGCGAGTCCAAGGCCAGCCTGAACTACAGAGCAAGAGCCAAACTCAAGAAAAACTAAAAGGGGGGCTGGGGATTTAGCTCAGCGGCATAAGCACCTGCCTTGCAAGCAGGCAGTCGTGGGTTTGATCCCCGGTACCAATAAAAAAAATTTTAAAAGAAAATTAAAAAAAAAAAAAAGAAAAACTAAAGGGGAAGTAGAGCCAGAAAGGTTAAACCGCTTATTCAACATGAGACTGGTGATGAATAACACGGGAAGCAAAACCCAAGTGCAAATGAAGTTAGTAGGCTGGCACTGGGGTGGGTAGAGTGGCACCCTGCCAAGCCCCATCCAGCTGCGGGATGCGGTGGAGAGACCTCGCCCCTGAGGTCACCCTCGAACTCCCAGCTAGCGTTGTTATGCCTGCCTTGCTGTGTGACCTGAGGTGCTCGGCCCAAGTCAGCCCCAGGGGTCTCACTCGGGACACAGCGAGGGAAATGTACCAGAACATCAGTCTGAAGTTTGCAGAGCAACTAAGAAGATGTCATCGAATAAATGTAAAAATGTTCACTTCTGCTTACTTTGATAAAATGGAAAATAGAATCTTTACCTCTACTTTCCTGAGGCAGCATTTCTATCTTCTTACAATTCACATCCAGGGCTGTAGGTATAGATATGCAGATGAAGCTGTGCACAAATACAGACACACGCACATACACCTCCCGTCAGCATTATCCCAGTGAAGCCAAGATCTCAGAACAGCACCCAAAAATTAAGACAAATGCTCACTTTGTTAACACACACGATAATCTAATACACAGTAAAACAAATGTTAATGGAAAATGTATCGGTTAACAGTCAATTTGGGAATTTCCACATTAGTCTTTCAATTACTGCACATTTAATTGTACTGATTTTCTTCAGAAATTTTTATAAAATGTATACACGAGGGTTAAAAAAGCAACAGTCTAACTTTTATATACTACCTCAATGATCTTTGTATTCAAATATTACTATTCTCAGGTACCCACCAAAATTTCTCTCTAAAAAAGACTGTTCATTAATATTTATGTTTTTTAAAATATAAGTGGCTTTGCCATGAAATTTCCAAATCTTTAATTCATGTATCATAAGGATATTAAGGCATAACAGAGACTATTTGCACAAGACTGGCATTTTGATAAGCCATTTGATTAAAACAAAGAACAAAAGCGTATTAACTGACCTCTACACCTGAAAGAAATCTTGTTAGCAGAAAAATCAAACAGCGCCTTACTGTAAAAAGGCTACTAAGCTGTATCACGGCCTTACACCACCAGGGGGCAGTGTTGCCTAACTATTCACAAGAATCAGTGGCAAAGACAAAACCACTTTCTACATGTTTGTAAACTTTCAGGGAGGAAAAAAAAATACTGTTTGAAAGAAAATCTAGAAACCTCCCAATAGGTCTCTATAATTAAGTTAGAATGGCATCATAGTCCACATCTCAGGATCGTTTGTGCCTGTGAATTCCCTGTACTTCTAGGTCTAGGATCAGCCTCACAGGAATGAGCTGCTCATCATGTTCAGGTGCACAACCTACCTCGGACCACATCAGCCCCGACCTGAATCCTCACCCTCCCTGCAACCCCGATGCCAAAGCTCAAAGAAAGCGGTCATCAGTGACAGCTGGGGCTCCAAATTTCAAGCTATTACATGATGGCCCCTGTACTAAGTATCTCCAAACTATCCCCATAAAATACACTCACTCAGTGATAAATATATCTAAAATTTTAGCTTGCAAGCACACTCTCCTTTCACAATGACGAAAGCCAGAATGGAGCACATCACATAAACTCCTAGAGCTCCGAAGGTCAACAGCAACCATCTCCCGTGTGTGACTTTAACCGTCATTTTATCATTTTGTTTAATTGTAGCTTCCCCTAAACCACTAACCCTAAACAAATGTACTAAAGACTTACATAGAGGACTTGAAACTGAAAAACAGCTAGAAGAAAACATAGCGGGGGGGCTTCCTGAGATGGGTGTGGACAATGAGTTTCTTTATAACATCAAAAACACAGGCATGAAAAGGAACAACAGACAAACAGGACTGCACCAAACTGAAAAGCTCCTGCAGAGCAAGGGAAATTTTCCAGAATGTATTGCACCTTGTACACTGTTGCTTGGAGTGTAAATCAGTGTAGCCCTTATTGAAAATAATACAGGGCTGGGGGTTTAGCTCAGCAGCTTAAGTGCTTGCTTAGCAAATGTGAGGTTGTGAGTTTGACCTCTAGTAGCAGAAAAGAAAGGAAGAAAGAAAGAAAGAAAGAAAGAAAGAAAGAAAGAAAGAAAGAAAGAAAGGAAGAAATAGTACGAAGGTTCCTAGAAAACTAAAAATGTAACTACCATAGTACTCAAACTTTCACTTCAGAATATTTGGCCAAAGAAAAGAAATCAGTATGTTGAAGACATATCCGCACCCCCATGACTTCTGCACCATATTCACAATGGAAAAATGTATGGACACACCCAAGTGTCTATGGATGGAAGAATCGATCAATACGTAAAGAAAATGAGGCACAGCAAAACTGCCCTCAGCGCATTTCCCTTGCTTGCTTCTGACATCCAATCGGTTATGAGTCTCAGCACCATCAAATGTCTGGAGTACTTTTCCCCTCCCTATTGTCACCCCCGCAGTTCAAGTCTTCATCCTGAGTCCCCCGTATTCCTGCACTCCTCTCTGGGAGAAAAGCAGGGAGCAAACCCATTACGCACATCTCCTTCATCTATACCCCAGGCACACGGCCACCCAGAAGAAAGAGATGACGTTTTCAGGTTCCCTAGACAGCTAACTGCAGTCACGGCACCACATACAGACAGTGAACATAACCAGAAGTGATCTCCACCATTCCTCCAAAATACCTTTAAATCGTACCTACTGTGTGGCCCTTTACCCTTCTAACTCTCCCCTGCACCCTTCCTGCTCTCAGCCCGATGGCTAGAACTCAAGCAACCACATCAGAAGATGAGAAATTCCCAAGTACACGCCTTCCTAACAAGCAGCCTCCCTCTCCATCACCACCATCCACTTCCCCACTGCTTTCAGACTGATTTCCTAAATGCCAATGTGAAGAAGCAATCTACTATTGTTTGACTAAATAAAATAGAAGAATTTAGTATGCTACACCATGGCATATAAGATCATTGGTACTCTGGTCCCTGACTACCCCAAGTTTGTCTCATTACTTCCCTGTTGACACCAGCTGCCCTGAACAATCTTGGTTTGCCAGACACCACAGCTTTACATGTGCTTCTGCATGATCAGAACATCTTTCTTTCCAGCACTCACTCAACCTCAAAAATTTGGCTCAGTTAAGTTTCCTTTTCCAGGAAACCTTCCCTCCCACAGTCTCAGATTTTCCTTTGATAACCCCCCAGAGTCCCTGATTCTTACTTCTACCATAGCAGAAGCCACGCTGTATGAGAATCACATAACTTGTTTCCCTGACCTGACTTCATAGTCAGATTGGATCTTCATCTGCCTCCACAGCTTAGCAACCCAAAGGTAGCTAGCTGTTCAATGCATGTTGAAAAAGGAAACATCTTTGAAAGCCTTCACTTGTCCGGAAGCTCATTTCTGGCCAATTGACGCCTGACATAAATAAAAATCACAAAAACACTCTTGATATTGTCCCCAAGGCCTATTTGTAGCACATCATGTCCCCAACTGTGTTCCAGTAGCATCCACTTAGGGCATGTTAATACTGCGCCTAATGTGTGGCTTTCCAGCAATGACATAGAACTTTGCATTTCACAGACCTATCAGACTTCTCCGGGCCTCAAAGCTTCCCATTTACCCCCTTGGGCTCCTTCAATCTGTAAGATATTCGACTTGGCTCAGCAACCCTAGCCCTGCTCAATACTTTTAATGATCCACTTAAAAGTGACTTAAGATTACCCTCAAACTCACAGTCTCTACAGTTCCCTTAATTCTTCTTTCTAAAAATAGAGGTTTATGCCTCTCAAGTTTTTAACAACTGTCTCTTTCTTCACGATTTTCAGTGAATACCAAGAATGGCTCTATAATTTATCTGCAAATCTATTCGGCCTCTGAGGATACAATTCGTCAGAGCTGTAACTAGAGCAAAACAAGCAGAGTGATCTCTTCTTGAGCCTGGGCTCTGGCTTCTCCCAGAAGTGTTTGTTCTACAATTTAAAACAAAGATTGCACTGGACCGCACTCCTCCACAGGGAAAATCCAACCATACAGGTGCTTGGTGTCTCTGCTTTATCTCACAAATCCCTACCATTACCTCTTAGGCACTTAGAACGGGACCAACCTTCCCTTCCTCTGCTTCCTCAGAGATCACACAGTTACTGCACCTTCTGAGCAGGGCTGTTCAGAATGCCACCAAGACGTTTCTAGACATGCAGCATCTCAAGTGCTCATTCACAGACGAGATTTCTGGGTCACACAATGGAATCAGAATTACTAGAGAGACTTTCCAGAACCTGAATATTTAAGTACAACAAGCACCCAAGCTGTGAGGAGATCCGCTGCTTGCCAGGCAGGGCAGGGCAGGACTGGGCAGTCAGAGTCCCGGTCACTGTCTCCTGCAGCCTGAAGCAGCTGCCTCGTTCACTCCAGGGCACAACAGGAAGGGCGTCATTTTCCAGGTGCACAGTGAAGAGGTTCACAGAGCTGCCAGAAATTCCTAAAGAACTAAGTCAAAGAAGGTTCACCATTGCTTTGAAAATTGGTCAATGTCATTCACCTCCCTCCTGAGGAACTATGGTTTTTCAAAATGCATTCTCTTGATCCCCCCGCCATTTGAAGATGATCCACCTCCCTGCTTCCAGAGAAGGATGGAGAGGAAATCAGAGGCGGAAAAGGAAGGGGATGAAAAAGAGAACCGAGACGTGTTATGTCACAGACTGTGGAGACACGCACTAACAAAAAAGAAACACCAAAACCAACGTGTTATTATTGTCAAAGAAGCAAAGCAATCCTCAACTTTTTAAGAGCAAAAACGCCTTTTCTCTAACAGATATTTTGCAAGGCTCTTTTATTGTCCTGATATAAAATTCATAAATCGTTTAACTACCTAACTAGAAAGGAACAATATAACATTCTAAATATAATACAAAGGAAAAACAGAATTAAAATAAGTTCCATCATAGCAATCTCAGGTGAGTCAGGTACTTGACTGTCCCTGAAAGGAGAATTACCCTAGAAACAAGACTGGTGTAGAGACTGGTAACGGGAATGCTGCGGCAGTAACTCAGCATGCATGCTGCCTCTTAGAATATGATATTTGGAAAGGATGGACAATTTTCAATAAATTTCCAAAGCTAAAAAAAAAAGTATAATCTTCCCTTGATAGTGGTTATTGTCCTTCATGTGGTAGGTATAGAAAACTCACTGATATTTAAATCATGTCCAAAAATGTGTTTATATAGTGCATCTTAAGCTCAAATAATTAGAAACATATTTGTCCAAACCCATACAAATGTTCCATAGCACATCTGAAGTCACGCAGCACACGGAACAATTCTTGGCTGTGCAGCCCTACCCCATGCACTACAGGGGTCCAGCAGCTCCAGCCCTTCCAGATTAAAAGCTGGACAGGGCAGATGCAGGTTAGGTGAGTCCTGAGGCCTGAACACTTGAAGGAGGAGAAAGCTCTCCAAGAAAAAGGAGAAACAAACTGACAGGGGCCTCAGGGTCCCTGAAGTCTCTTGCACTGGCTTCATGGTAAATCCACTCTAGATGAGACTTGTTTGCAAAGTGTGACATCACGAGAGTCACACTAGAAAACAAAACTAAAACTGTAAACTCATGCACTTTAAGGCAGAAGCTATTTGGCCAAACGCCTGCAGGCTTCAGGAGGAAAGATGCACGGGCAGAGCACCAAGGTAGAGACCACATGGGAGGGCTGGCACCTCAGCACCTGTGCTCTGAAGCACCGCCTGCTACTTAGCGCCAGGGGGAATGCACACTCAGTGTCAAATCTTCAACAGCAGGGTGACATCTGAGTTTGTAGGTGAAATCTCCCGATATTTAAAAGTTTGCTTGGAGTTTTAATGAAACACTGGCTGAACCAAAGGAAGCATGAGTGAAGGATGTTAATGTGTCTACTCCGCTTTACAAATAAAAAAGATACCCAGGGCGCTGGGAAACCAAGCAACCCGCTCACCTCCCTGCTAAGCGGTAGTGAGCCACCGGTGCTCGGGCTGAAAGTCAGATATCCCCACCCCTTTCCCTCCCCACCCCCCCATTAGTAAATGGGAGCCAGAGATCTGAGCATCTCTTGGGAGAATGACCATATACAATATATCAAATAAAGGGATTTCTTTCTACTATGTCTTTGAAGACAAATATTTTTTTCACTGTTTTTGCTTTATTCTGATTAATGGTACTGCTCTATTCAATATGTTTTGGTAAGTTCTATAATGTTCCGTATTTCATTTTACTGTGCTATACAGGATTGAAAGAACAACTATTGTGAAGATAGCGAGATATACTGTGGTACCTATTACTGTTATCCCGGTAACCTGCTGTGAAGTTCTGTACCAATTTCACTGTACAATCTTAGTTGGCTTTATTCTGACTTGTTCTGCTGTATTTTACTACCTTAAATAATAAAAAAATCTTTAGAAATGATACCACCTAGCTAACATAAAACAAAATGAAATAAAAGCCAGACTAGTTTATGGAATGAACAATGAAAGGAGACGTTGCTAAAAGCACACTTTGCAAAGCAGTTCATACACCTACCAAAAAATTTTTGTTCAGTCATGGTGTGACATACCAAGGACACATATTTACTGCAGCACCCAAACAGACTCTATAAGTCATTAAAAAAAAAAAAAGAGCCCTTCAATATAAAACATATAAGCAGGAAAGCCCTTTAAATGAATCATAAATAGCTAATAAGTACACAAAAATGTTTGACTTCAGTTAGACCTGGAGCAGCAAGTTTCTGGAAAGAAAAGCTCTTCATTGTATCTGACATGGATATGATATTATTATCCTGATATAAAATTCATAAGTCTTTTACCTACATAAGTAGAAAGGAAAAATATAACATTCTAAATGTAATACATAGAAAAAATGAAATTAAAATAAGTTTCATCATAGAAATCTCAGGTGAGAAGGTACTTGAATGTCCCTGAAAGGAGAATTACCCTGAAAACAAGCCTGGAGTAGAGACTGGTAACAGGAAACTGCAGTTTCCAAGTTGATCTGACTGTCTCCTTAAACAAAGGCAAACCTGCTCCTCAGCCTCAGGACATTGTTTCCCGACTGGCCCCAGACTCCTGAGTTCAGGATTCTCCTGTAGCAGCCTCCACAGTAGCTGGACAACAGGGCTCTCCATTCTCCCCTACTCCTCAGCTTTTCAACAGCTGCGTGACAAGTACACAACTCAGCAGCAGACAACTTGCTTAACACATGTGAGGCCCGGGGTTCAAAATCCTCAAGCACGACAAAAATAAACACAGTAATAAAATTACCAGCCTAAAAGAAATGGGATCTCTCAGACAAAATAAAAATAACAGAGTAAGTAGGCAACAGGGCTAAGCTTTCCAGCACGCCTCCCGATTGGATGCTGCAACACTGCTTCGTTATCTCAGTAGATGAAACAGCAAGCAGTTCCGGTCGGGTAAAAGTGCAGAACACATTCTGCTGATATGCAGGCCAATGTGGTAAGACAGAAGCACTGGCCTTTCATAGCAAACATCCTGACCAAAGTTTACAGTCACTTACGGGTCCTCTCTGCCAAGCCAAGACCACTAAACACTACTGCCTATCAAGCAGGGCCTGTGGTACAATTCAAATAATAGCTAACAGCTGGTCAGTTTAAGAAGTGCCATGCAGAAGGGAACAATAATATCATGAGATTGTATATCGCATTCCTAAAAAATCAATTTTCTGCTTTCCATAATGGAAATGGGTAGGAAGGCATCTGGGGTCTGGAAGGAAAAAAAGAAAGAAAGAGAAAGACAGAAAGAAAGACAGAAAGAAAGACAGACAGAAAGATAGAAAGAAAGAAAGAAAGAAAGAAAGAAAGAAAGAAAATGAATGTGCCAGGTAGAGATGTAAGATGTATTAAAGGACCAGTCATAACATTAAAAAGCAACTTGTATCTATGGGAGAGGAAAAAAGTCAACGGAAAACCTTAGAATTAGTGAATTTAATATTTGTTCCTTTGTGTATCTGCGGTTCTCTATGCCAACTCACAGTTTTCCTGCTGCAATGACTCCTAACTTTCCTGAATCACACAGATCTCTGACTAGCAAAGATCAGGGCAGCGGCCCGAGTTGGGTTAAACCACAATGCCATCTGTGGTTTTTTGTTGGGGTGAGGGTTGCTCTTGCATATTGCTCTCTAGAAATTCTTTGCATGGAAAGGAGACATCACATCAGTAAGGTACTCTACTGATTTTACCACCAATAATTACCAGATTGTCCTCAGAACATAAGCAAAATAGAGCTCAAAAGGGATCATGACCCTAACATAAGAGAACTACAAAACTTGAAAGGAAATATAGGAACATAAATTCCTCACCTTGTGTTAGGCAGTGGCTCTTTTGCTTTGTTTGTTTTGTCTTGCTTTGCTTTGCTTTCCCTCACCAAGCAAATAGCAACAAAGAAATACAGAGAAACTAGATTTCATTAACATTAAAAAAGTTTGTGCTACAATTGATACTACCAAGAAAGTGAAAGACAAGCACACATTAGAATAAAATAATATGCAACCATCTATCTAATAAGGGTTATAGACATAGAATAAAGAGCTCCTACAATCCAATCATAAAAAGACAAATACACCAATTTTAAAAATAGACAAGTACACACCTGTAATCCCAGCTCTCTGGGAGGTTGAGGAGGAAAATAGCAAATATAAGCTCAGACTGGACAACTAGTGACTCAAAATTTAAAAAAAAATAAAAATAAAAAAAAAACAGAAAAGAGTTGGGGATGTAGCTTAATGTAATGGCCGTGGGTATTAATTAATCAATGAAGCAAGCAAGCAAAAGATCTAAATGTGTATTTCTTCAAACACAAATTACAATAATTCAATAAGCACATTAAAAGACACTTAACATCATTAGTCACTAAGGAAACACATACAGAAAAACACAGTGAGATACCATTTCATATTCACAAGGATGAGTATAGCAAAAAAGAATATAACAAGTGCTGGAGAGAATTTGGAGAAACTGGAACTCTCAAACACTGGGAATAGGGATGTAAAATGCTGCCACAGCTGTGAAAAATAATCTAGAAGTTCTTCAAAAGGTATAGAGAATCACCAAATGACTCAGCAGTTCTACTTCTAGGTAAGCACAAAGAGAAATAAAAACATGCATCTACATAAAAGCTTGTACATAAACATTCACAACAGCATTGTTCACAATAAAAAATACCAACCAACTGTGGAAGCAACCCAAATACACATCAAGGATGGAGCAGATAACCAGAATGTAGCCCATCCTTATAACAGGATATATTCTACCCCACTCCCCCCAAAACAGTAGCACTTTAGTGTTGGGACACAAGTACAGTGTAAGAATGCTTTTGTGAGGAGGGAGCAAAGATGGTAGATACATAACAGCTGGCTACAGAGGCTCCCTGAGATAGTCAACTTAGAATTCAAGATAATACAGCATGGACAGCCCTGAACAGAGGGAGATGAATTCTCTCGTTCCACAAAGAAACTAAGGTGAGAAGAACCAATCAAACATACAGTCCCGGTGCTATTATTGGAACAGCTGAAGGTTCAGTGCTCCCGCCTCAGCGGGCAACTTGCCGAGCTGTCCGAGGTCCCATGGCTTCGACTCACTGGAGGCACAGTCACACTGAGGTCAAGGGTCAGCCAGCCAAACAGAGAGCTGAGCTGGTGGGGAACCTGCATTGACCTGTGATAATTGATGGGAGTGGAGCCATTTCACAGAAAGCGGGGCTCCAGCGGATGACATTCTGGGACCAGGCAGGACTGCCAAGTACAAGGAGCAGCAATGACTTCAGTCTGTTGTTCCCTTCCTAAACAGGATGGTGGAGTAAGCTAGGCCTGAATCACGCGACCTGCCTGAGACCCAACAGGTTATCTGAAATCAATTCCCATGGCAGCAGCACACATTAACCCAGTGAAGCCTCAGAAGTTTGACTGATCCAGAGAGGGGCATGCACAGTAATACACTGCAGGCCTCAGCAGCTTGACTGATTCAGAGGGGAAGGGCCAGCATATGCTGCCCCTGTTTGCAACTCACTAGCATACTGTAGTGGGAAAGGTCACCTAGCCAGCATGCTTCAGAAGAATTATAACCAACAAAGAAAGAAACTGGGGCCTCCTGGAAGAAACAAAAAAGATGGGAAGAGGAAGCAACAACAAAAAGTCCCCAGATCCCAACCCTGAGAACACTGACCCAGGACAGGTAAATACAAAGGACATTGAGAACAGCAAGCATGCAATATCAGATACGGCACCAGTAGACATAAAGAGATATCTTCAGGACTCATAGATGAGTTCAAAAGTGAAATATTTAGCCAAGTAAAGCAAGATATAAGAACATTAATAAAACAGATGCTAAGCACCCCTCAAGCAGACACAGATGGAAAAAGGGAGGAACTCAAACAAAGGAGAGAACTATTTGATGAAGAATATAAAGAAAATATAGAATACATGAAGCAGATTCAAAGAGATTACCAGGAAATTGCAAACTCTATGGAAAGATGGCAAATCTGCTTGAAAGAAACTAAGGATAGATTCTCCAAACTGGAGGACAGTTTTGCAATGTGGGATTATGAAAGGAAAAGCTTTTTAAAAATAACAAGGAAACAAGCAGTAACAATACAAAAGCTAGAAGACAACAAGAGGATCTATAACTTGAGGATAAAAAATGTGAATGAAGAAGCAGGGGTACAAACAAAGGAACTACAAAAGCTATTCACAGAAATAATTAAGGAAAACTTCCCAAACATAGGAAAAGGAGATGATATGCTGATGTATGAGGCATACAGAACTCCAGCCACCTACAACCAAAATAGAGCTGGGATTATAATCAAGATCCCAGAAATTCAATATAAGAACAGAATATTAAAAGCTGTTAGAGACAAAAAACAGACAATCTATAAAGGAAGACCCATCAGAATCATGGCAGACTTCTCAACACAAACCATCAAATCAAGAAGAGCCTGGGGTGAAATATTCTAAGTCCCGAAAGAAAATAACTCCCAACCCAGATTGATATACCCTGAAAATCTGTCTCTAGAAATTAATAGAGAAATAAGATGCTTCCAAGACAAAGAGGAACTTGGGAAATTCACAACCATCAACTCAACTCTACAGAGAATACTGTAGGGCATTCTAGAGAGAGAAAAGTACTAGGATTCCAGGAACAGTGTCAGAGAATCCTCAATGAATGGAGCAGAAAACAGAATGAAGAAGATAAGCAGACAACTGATGGCAAAAAAAAGAGCATAACATAAATGAGGCAGAGAAGGTTGGTTATAATCTCTAGTATTCTTCTTGATACACTAAATTAAAAAAATTAAAAAACCACATGTGGAGTAGATCAGGAGGCAGGATCCAACAAGATGCTATTTATAGGAAATACAATTAACATGAAAAAGAGTACATAGACTGAAAATCAAATATGAGAAAATAATGCTCTATGTGACACATAACCAGAGAGTAATAGGGGCAAGTAGACCAGTATTTGTGGAT